GGTGGCGGAGATATTGGGGTAACACAAACAACCAAAGACGCGAAGGTGATCGTAGGAGGGCGGGGAATTGAAGAGGGTGGCGTGGGGGGGTCTTATTTTGTAAGGTGGTGGTGGGAAGAATGTTAAAAATATGGGCTGTCATGTGAAGGGCCTCAACCCAGAAGGTAGATAGAAGTTGAGCTTGGAAGAGGAGTGAACGGACCGAGTTGATGACATGAAGTGTGCGCGCAGCTCGGTCGTTCTGTTGACTGGTGTGAGGACACGAGAAACGAAAGAGGATACCTAAGGAGTCAAAAATATTTTTAAGTGGTGAATTACGATATTCTGTTCCATTGTCACATTGAACGGCTTTTATTGTTGTGTTAAAAATATTTTTGACATATGCTACAAAAGAGGTTAAATTATTAAAAGCATCACTTTTATGTCTTAAAGGAAAAACCCAAAGATAATGGGAGAAATCATCCAACAATAACATATAAAATTTAAAACCAGTAATACTCGGAACAAGAGACTGCCATAAATCTGTGTGTAAAAGTTGAAACGGAAACATGGAAACACGACTAGAAGAATAAAATGGGAGGCGCACATGCTTTCCCAATTGACATGCATGACAAAGAGAATGTTGGTAACTTTTAAAAAAAAGGAAGAGAAGAAATATTGCTAAGGACGTTGTGGCTCGCGTGGCCTAGGCACCGGTGCTAGGTTTAGAGATCGTTAGCGGCGACGTTGGCTTGGGCGGCAGCTGGGCGTCCTAGGGGGTAGAGGGGTCCCATATCATTGGATCTATGCATCACGGTGCCCGTCCGACAATCCTTCACAGAAAAACCATTAGAGTCAAATTCAACTGTACAGTTATTATCGCGAGTGAGTTGACGGACAGAGATAAGGTTGTGAGTGATGTGAGGAGAAATAAGGATATTTTTAAGGGACAGGGAAGGGGTAGTGGGGAGGGTATGGTTACCAATAACCGTAGTGCTAACTTTAGATCTATTACCAATAATGATATATAATGGTGAACATAAAGATTGAGAATTAACATGATAAATAGTACCTGGGTCAGAGGCAATATGATGGGATGCACCGGTGTCCATATACCAAGTGGGTTCACGGAGGGACATAGTGTCGAAGTGATGGGCTAGGGCTGTGGGGGTGGGG